GCCCCAGCATCGCCACCACGCACACGCCAGCCATGTCCCAGGCTGTCCCCATGCCCATACCGGCTGTCCCCATGCCCGTGGCAGCTGTCCCCGTCCATGCACCCACTGTCGGGTGCATGCACTGGCCACCTCTGCATGCCAGGCTGCCCCATGCACACGCACCAGCCCGCTCCATGCAGACATGAGCTGTCCCCGTACATTTGCCTGCTATCCCCATGAACCCACGTCACCAGCGCCATGCGAATGCCCACCGTCCCATGCACACGTGCTGCTGTCCCCACGCGCATGCCACTGTCCCCACACACATGCTGCCATTCCCACGCACATGCCCGCCTCCCTGCGCCCTCTCTGGGTTTAGGAGGTGGAGTCCTCCTCCTTGGCCATGTCCAAAGCCTCCCTTGGCAAACACCGCTCCCAGACACCTCCCAGGCCCTTACATCCAGGTCCAGCCCCACTTGCTCCCGCACAGCCCATCCCAGAGGTGCCACCGCTGCTTGCTGCCCCCAGACCCTCACTGCCAGGACACCTGTGTCCCTGGGGCTGTGCCACCGGCTCCTCCGTGGCCCCGAGTGGCCACAGCAAGGCCAAATTCAGTGTTGCAGGCAGCGCAGCTGCATGGTGAGCACCCGTGCTCGCTGCCCAGCACGAGGGCTGCCACGGCTCTGCTCTCAGCCCAGGGTCCCCATGTCACTGGCCAGGACCCCCAGACCCCACCACGTCCCCGCTGCCTCCTGGAATTAATAATAAGTGATGACGCTGGGATGTCCTCGCCCTGGAGAGGGCCACCTTGGAGTCCCTGAGATGAAAGGGAGCGCAGGGTGTTATTACTGTGAGTGACACAGAGCTGGGGAATGGCACCCGTCACCTCCCTCGGCTGCTGCAAAATGCTGCCCGGGGAGCGCGGGGGGGACACGGCACCACTGGGGCACAGGAAGGGGGACACAGCACTGACATGGCCCCAGAACGGGGCATGGACCAAGCTGCCCCCTCGGAGCTGCCCAGGATGTCACCAGCCGGGGAGGTCCCCATTGCCTGGTCCCCTTGCAGTGTGAACGGTGACCTGTGTGTCACGGCCTTGGTGGCTTCCCAGTGACACCACGTGCTGTTTGGCTTGGCCCGATGTGTGCTTTTAAAGCTGTGGCAAGGGACGAGCCATCCTCATGCCACTAATTTGAGCCTGGTAGAGAACGCAGCTGGTCCCTTCACTTTGGGTTTTCGGGTGATGCCTGGGCACAGCTACGGGTGGCGGCAGCTCCGGGCACATCCCTTGCCATTGCCTGCAAGCTGCTTGGCATTGCCGCGCCAGCCACCCTGCTAACGTTCCTCTTGGGAAAGCTGGGGAGCCAGCGGGGAGCTCCGCTTTGGGTGGCTGCTGAGCCCGGAGCCGGTGATGCCAGGGGTGGCATCACGGCCCTTCCTGAGGGGTCTTGGTCCTCGCTGCCCGTGCAGCAGTGCAGGGCTGCGGGGCCGTTTGCTCTCCCCCTGCCCCTTGCTGCAAGCCAGGGCTTCGTGCTGGACCATGCAGAGGGAAACTGAGGCACGGGGAAGCCCAGCCATCCTGGCCGGGGCAGATTCCTGCAGCTGCAGAGGCAGCAGCGCTTTAATCGCCACGGATGGGGGTTACAGGAAGGGGGATAAACGCCTCGGCACACGCGTGTGCAGGGACAAGGTCATCCGCTCAGGGTCCCTCTGTTCTCCCTGTCCTTGGTGCCACCATCACAGCCCTGACATGCTTTGGGAGCGAGCAGGGGGAGCCGGGGGCTGGAGGACACGGAGGAGGGCCGCACACGGTGAAAAGGCATTGTCGCCGGCACCGCAGGGCCGGGGGCTCGCGCCGGGGCCCATCCACCCCCAGCCTCAGTGCTGTGTGTGCTTTGGCAGTTGCTCAGCGGTGACAGCCCATGCCTGGAGGGGTTATTAGTCCTCCCTCATTAAAAAAGTTACTCACCCCTTAAGACAGAAACAAGAATATCCTGGAAATGCCTCGGTTTGGTGAGTTCTCGCATTAAAGGTATGACCAAAATCAAGAGGGCGGCTGCACGTGCCGCTCCCTGGCACGTGGGGCGGGTGAGATGCTCAGGCAGCCCTGGGGCTGCCCCGCGCTCCTGCTTTCCCCTCTGCGCCCGGGATGGGCGGCCATCACCCAGCTGCTGGGCTGCAGCCAGCACCTCTCAGCGCTCCCACCCTTTGGGCTGGGATGGCAAAACTGCTGCTCTCCTCCAGCGAGGATGGAGCCAAGGCCTGGCATTGCCTGTTCCTGCCAAACCCTCTTGCTTCAGGGTCCCCCCACTGGCATCGCTGCCCCGGGGATGAGCCACCCCGAACCCCATGCACGGTGCAAGGATGGCACCCACTGAACCGGTACCACCATGGGCACCATGGCATCGCCTGCCCCACGTCCCCGGCCACCTCATCCTGCCCAGGGACCCCTCAGCAAGGGGGAAACCCTGGGGGTGCGGTGGCCAGGCCAAGTCTCAGCCCGGGGCCACGGAGGACCCTGGGCTTCAGGTATTTTAAGCACATGAGCAACACCAGCCATTACGCGCTTGCTGGATGGTGAGGGGGTGAGTCACGGCCTCGTTGAATCAGAGCTTTAATTTGCAGCGATGAAACACGCTCCCATTGCAATTGCCCAAAAGCGAGGAGCTCCAGCCACCCCGGGGCACCCACGGCCCTGAGGGGTTCTTTGGGGGGAGAAGGTGCAAGCGCTGCTGGGGCTGGGAAGGTCTTTCCTGGGGGATTTTCGGGTCGGGGTGCAGCCCCTTGCCTGGGCACTGCCTTCAGCCTCTTCCCTCTCTCCAGCTGCGGGATGCTGGTGGGAACCGGTTCCTCGCCGAGGGCCCGGCTTCAGCCCCAGCTCCTGGGGAAACCCAGAGGAAAAATCACAGGGCTCAAATGTCCCCAAGCCCCCTCCCCTGGGGATGGAGCAGTTAGCCCCCCAAAGCCCCCCCACAGTGCAGGCAGGGAGCCGGAACAGGCAGGTGCTGCCAGCAGCGGGGGCAACGCACTAGGCTCGGGGTAGGCAGAGCTGCCCGGGACGCCTGGCCAGCACCTTGGGGCCACGGTGGGGCAATTTGGGCTCCTGCAAAAGGACCTCCCTTTTGCCTTCTTCCCCCTGCAAAGTGAGAAAAACAGCCCATCCCCTCCCAACACACCCTCATGCCGACACAGCCCCAGGGAGGGATGCGGCAGCCCAGGCTCTGCAGAGCCTCTGTCTTCACTGAAGTTGCGAACGGCTTAAAAAGTACTCCCGGCCAGGGCTCCCCGTCTCCCCAAGCCACGGTGGGAAGGCGAGGGACAAACCCTCCATCCCAGCAGCGATGGGGATGAGGTCTCGCAGCTGCCTCATTCATCTGGGACAGCCAGGACTCCGCAGCAGGGGTATGAGCCTCACCACCCAGAAAAAAACCCCACTAAAAATTAACATTAATTTATTAGAATATCCATGATAAAAACCAAGATTCTCTTTACATGTGTTTTTTCCCTTTTTATACAAGAGAATTTTCATTGCTTTTTTTCCTCCTGGAGACAGAGCAGGGCAGGCAGGCAGGCGCAGGCAGCAACGTGGGCTCTCGCCCCGGCATGACGAAGCTGCGTGCACACCGGTCCCCGGGGTCCTGGTCGGGACGTGGGGCGGGTGGGCACACGGGACGGGTGCCCACCAAGGCAGCGGGGCAGAGAGGACGTGTGGCAAGGCACAGCGCGGGGAGGGGGAAGCAGCCCGGGCTCCCTGGGGAGGGGGCAATGAGACCCCGCAGCATGGGGGAGGCAGCACCCATGGCGAAGGGTGGCACGTGGTGGGAGCTGGGTGGCATGTGGGGGACAAGGTGACATGCTTGAGCACAATGCAGGACACCCTGAGCCCGGGGAGGGCTGCAAGTCCCCTGAACACCCCACGCTCTGTCCCAGCCCAACCTTGGGGAAAGATGGGTCCTTCCAAACTCAGGACCCCTGACACCCCCAGCCATCCCCCTTGGCAGGGGGAGACCGTCTCCCAGCCCTAACGTGTCCCCACGCTGGACGAGCCGGCCCCCGGCTCTTCCCCAGAGCCTCTCAGTTGCAGGGAGAGAAAAACAATCCCCACCATGTAGCAAATGAAACCCCCTGCATGCCCCGTCTTTGTGCCCGGGGAGCCTGGACACCGTCTTTGGTTAAGGAGCAGCCGGTGCCGCTGCCAGGCAGGCACAGGGCGAGGGGCTGAGGCTGGCAGAGGGTCCCCGCGGGAACGGGTGACAGGTAGCGGTTCCAGGAGGGACAGAGAAGCCCAGGCTTGCAGGGCCGCTCAAAGCGAGAGGGGACTCGGCTCCCCCCTTGCATGGCTATAGGATATTTATTTAGCAAGACCTGGTGGGAAAGGCGGGGCCGGAGGAGAGGTTCCCGAGTGCCAGCCGGCCCTGCCGGGGAAGCAGCCAAGGCAGGGAGCAGCGGCACGAGCCTGAGGTCCCGGGGAGGGTGCCGGGTGAGGTGGTGGGTGCGCCAGCCCCGGCGCAGAGCCTGGCTCCCGTCTTCCCATCTCTCTGCTTGGGAGCAAGGTGAGGGGGCAGGTAAGACGCATGCTGGGGAGAGGCGAAGCTGTGCCACGGGGCAGCCTCCGCAGGCTCCCCCAACTCCCCCGCTGGAGCCCACCCTGCGCCGGCCACAGCTGCCCCGAGGAGCCGCTTGCAGGTCCCGAGTGGGTGGGCAGCCTCCAGGAAAGCCCCGCCAGGGCTGCGAGGCTCCTGCAAATCCCAGTGCCAGGCAGTAAATCGTCCGTCACCCCCAGGCCACGGCGGCTGAGGAGCCCGGTGCGTCCCGGGGGCTCCTTCCCTGCTCCTTGGGGCCAGCCCAGGGCTTGCTGGGCAGAGCTGTCCTGGCAATCCCAGTCCATCCAGGATGGTCTCCCCTTCCCAAACCCAGTGTGTAGTGACAGAGGAAACCAAAAAGGAGAGCAGAGAAAGAAGAACAAATGGAGAGAGAGAAAAACTGTACGTAGCATTGTGTGAGGCTTCGTGCATCAGCTGCTACTGGGCCTTGGGGATGAAGGGTTCCCCCTCCTCTGGCTCTGGCCGAGGCCCCGGATCGCTCAGGCATCGCAGCATCCGCTGGTTGCTGGGGCTGTCGCCAGTCCCTGGGGTGAAGACATCATCGGTACCCGGGGAGGAAGGCTCCTTCACCCGCATCACCAGCCCCTCCTCGTCCTCCTCGGGCGAGGGCGGGAGGCCGCCACAGCCCTTGGGCTCCTCGTTCATCAGGTCCACAGACTCTGGGGACTGCGGGGAGGCCGGGTCGATGGTGATGATGGGCAGGTTCTCCGAGTCCGCCTTGGGTTCATAGGCCAGCGGGTCTGGGGGGGGCAGAGAGGGGTCAGGCAGGGCCTCACGTATTACAGCATCACGAACAAACTGCGTCAGGAAAACCTGGGGAAGCGGGGTCTCGGGGCCCCTCAGCTAATGCATCCCCGATGTTTGGGGCTGCGATGCCTGCGCTCACCCTCTCTCTAATTTCCAAGTCTGCTGTTTAATTCCTGTTTTTGATCTCCGCACCCCCTCTGGAGCCGCTCCAGGCAGCCCAGCCCCGCTCCCAGGACAGCGCC